ACGGATTAACGAAGGAAGAGTTCTCAATTCTTGATCCTATCATCCGAACACACCACACGTTCCCAAGATCGCCAAACACGTGCACATCCATCATAGCACACCGTGTAGACGCACCGGCAAGTGCCATATGGAGATTCGTCCGAGACTTCGCGAATCCAAACAAATACAAACACTTCATCAAAAGCTGCACCATCAGAGGTAACAGTAACGGTGTCAAAGAGATTAAGGTCGGAACCATAAGAGAAGTTAGCGTGATCTCTGGTCTTCCAGCATCAACAAGCGTTGAGATACTCGAAGCTCTAGACGAAGAGAAAAGAATATTGAGTTTTCGTGTTCTTGGAGGAGAACACCGGTTAAACAATTACCGGTCGGTTACATCGGTTAACGAGTTCGTAGTCTTGGAGAAAGATAACAAGAAGAGAGTGTACAGTGTTGTGTTGGAGTCTTACATTGTTGATATACCAAAAGGTAACACGGAAGAAGATACGAGGATGTTTGTAGATACTGTCGTTAAATCGAATTTACAGAATCTCGCCGTGGTTTCCATAGCTTCTCCGACGTGAAAATTTTCTTGTGTTGAAAATGTCTTGTTGTTGTGTTGTGTGTATATATGTTTAGTGGGCCATAAATGGGCTGATTATTTGTTCAGTGTATATGTGTGGAATGTGAGGTGTGTATATATGTAACTTATGGGCCGTAATGGGCTTAGTAATCCTCATAAGGAAAGCCCTGTAAAGTTCCGACCCAATTTTTATACTACTTTCGGCGGTTGTCCAAACTGATTTATTTATTAAAGGGAATTGAAGTTTAATTAAGATTTTTTCCTTTATTTTAGCGTTTTTTTTTTTTAATAATTTGGTAATCCAGACCAAATTCCGACTCATTCGAAAGTAGGCAACCTCGGTTGATACAATCATACAAACAAGCCATGTTAAACATCCAAATCTTTTAGTGACGGATAATAGTTTGTTAAATGGAATATTTCATGCTTCGATTTTTCTTAATCTTAAAAATTAGAGTCGGTTAAGTTCGACGGATGTGTTGTTTACATTTTATACTTTAGTTTTACAATATGAATTCGATTTGATATATATTAACCGTAAAATTAAACATTTAAAGAATATTTATCAACAAAACATTTAAAGATAATAATCGATGTAAAACACTGATAGGGTCCAAAAACTTGGTGGTGGTGGTATCTGCTTTCGGCATTTGACAGAAAATTCCTGGAAACCGTGAAGACAACGAATACACGTTAAACAAAAAAAAAAAAAATCATGAAGAATATTCGTGTCAAATGATTCGATATACGATTCCGTATTTGGAAATTTGGGACCGCATGGAATGGATCACGTGGATACTAAGCCTATAACGTGAATTCGCTAAAAACAAAATTTTTAAAATTCGAATACTAAGCAATTTAGCATTTAAGATAAAGTTTATCAGCATAATTCTTATTTTTCTTCGAAATAACGTTTTTGCATTGCTTAAGTAATTAATTTTAACATTAATTTATGCGGTTAAATCGAAAAAATATATATATCAACCAAGAAAGTACAATTGTTAAAACCAAAAATCACAATCTTACTACAATTCCATCATCACATCATATATTTAAGATATAATTTCCAATCTTTTTGGAATGCTACAAGTCAAGCAAGAGAAGAAGATAAGAGTCACCACATTTTAATGGTTTATATTCTTCTAGCTTCCTCCATTATTTATCTAACTAGACTGAGAAACTCGAAGAGCACGAGGCATTACATTAATCCCGACAGGGATTGTTTGCATCTTGCAAGTATTCTCTGCACTGATCAACAACTTCTCCTTGTCTTCCTCCAACCTAATCTCATCGATTATTCCCATTAATACCATCTCCAAGCTTTCACCATCGGTCCATTCTCTAATCGCCGCCTTAACCAACATCGGATTTTGACTAATCAGACCCCAAACCGGGAAATTCTTACGTGGCATCACGTAATCTTCAGCTTTTAGTTTCAAACTCGGACAGTAATCACCAGCTCCATCTCCAAGATATATCATCTTCTTCTTCCCTTCTTTAGCTAGAGATTCTTGTATCCTCTCAATAATCAAACCCTAATTAAATAAATATAAACACACGATTAAAATATTGTTTTAATATTTAGAAACCAAAATAGGACCATAGAGATGACATGTTTTGACTCATTTGACCCACAACTTAATTATATATATAAAAGTGTACCTTTTTGGTGTAATGAACAAATTATAAGTTAAGTTTCATGGACTTTTAACTTAAAATCAGTTAGAAATAAGTAAATGGGTCCATACTTTTTTGTATATTCTATCATATTTCAAATACATATAATGAAAAAATAAATATAAATTTGTACCTTGCACATGTTAGGAGGACAAGTGGAACGAGAGCAACCATGAGAAGATTTAGTTAAATCATGGTAAGGAGAGATTCTCAGTGTGTCTTGTTCATCGACAAATCCTGGATTTGAGTTAATCTCAGAGAAGTATTCACTAAGACCAAGATGTTCAACGATGGTTTCGATGAAGAACATGTTCGCGTCGCTCACTATCCTAAGCTCACACCTAG